AGACCAGCCTAGTCAAGATGGTGAAACCCCATCTCTACTAAAAATACAAAATAATTAGCCAGTCGTGGTGCCGGGAGCCTGTAATCCCAGCTACTCGAGAGGCTGAGGCAGAGAATTGCTTGAACCCCAGATGTGGAGGTTGCAGTGAGTCGAGATCGCGCCACTGCACTCAAGCCTGGGCGACAGAGAGAGACTCTGTCAAGGTGGGGGAAAAAAAAAAACCCGCTATCTGAAAAATTACTTTCAATTTCAAATTCAGGTAAAAAGTAAAATAATATATGTAAACACATTCAAAACAGTACCTGACACATCACAGGTTTTAAGTTAAATAGGAATAATGCATCAGTAAACTATTACAATTGAATTAAACATAAAATCACTAAACTAAAAGGTAAACTTAAGGATAACCTTAACTAAAAAATACTAACATTCTAATATTTACTGAGAATCTACTAGATGTACAATACCAGAGAGAGGGGGAGGACTCTGACCTATTTTTTGACAAGAGTATAAAATATTCAGATCAGTGACTCCCAAACTAAGGTCCCTAGCTCAAGAAAGTAGTAACAAGCAAAACCCACAGGTATTATACAAAATGAACCAAAGATGGCCCTTGCATGATGGCCCTAAATTGTATACTTCTTCACAGCTGGTAGGGATCTGAGCTCAAACGCCCACTGGATCAAAGACCATAAATGTTTAAAATAAAAATTAAAAAGCCTATGGCCGGGAGCAGAGGCTCACACCTGTAATCCCAGCACTTTGGGAGGCCAAGGCGGGTGGATCACAAGGTCAGGAGATCGAGACCATCCTGGCCAACATGGTGAAACCCCATCTCTACTAAAAATACAAAAAAATTAGCCGGGTTGGTGGCGGGCGCCTGTAGTCCCAGCTACCCGGGAGGCTGAGGCAGGAAAATGGCGTGAACCCGGGAGCCGGAGCTTGCAGCGAGCTGAGATCCGGCCACTGCACTCCAGCCTGACAACAGAGCAAGACTCTGTCTCAAAACAAAAACAAAAACAAAAACAAAAACAAAACCAAAAAAAAGCCTGCTGGGGTGCCAAACTCAAATTCTGAAGCATCCATTTACTTTCAATATGGCCCAAAATAAGCATATTTTTAGCCATTTAGAGCCTGCCAGGTTTGAACGCCCAATGAAACTGCACCCAACATTTGCCAGACACATAAAACCTGGGATTATCAAGACCCCCAAGCTGCTGCTGCCCTTGAGAGTTCTATGATCCAGAGACTCTCCACTGTGCAACATCACTTAGACATTTAAGCCCCTCTATGATTCTTTCCTCCCCACTCCCCATCCCCCTTGCCCTCTTTCCCCTCTGGATGGTGGCCCCTCACCCTGGTCTAGAAAACGTCCCATACTGAGAGGGATTTCCTTTGCCTACAATTCTGTCAAAGTCCTTGTTTATTCCTGTCACCTTGTTGACAATCTTTTTCCTTGATCAGTCTGAAATTCCTAAACGTATCACAAGAACGTGGCTGGATTTTTTCCCCTAAATTGCAAAAGGACTAAGGAAAGCACCGATCTAGATCACGGGGAAGGGGGTGCAGAGCGGGGAGCATTTGCAAAATGTTAAAGTACCGGCTTGACATTTCAAAACACAGAGTTCATGGAAATGCCCAGAAAACTAAAAAACATCTGTGGTTTCAAATAATAACTTTTGGTTTAAAGAAAAAGGTTGATAAATCTTTTAAACTGTTGAATTAAAAAGAATATTCCTGTGTACGAAAAGCAGTTATAATAAAGTATTTGTTCATATGCTTATTTTTCAATGAACAAACTACCTCCTAGCATTTCTAAAAGTGTTGAGATGTAACTTCTTGCAATTTTATATGACTACTACTTATACATGGCTTACCCAACTAAACTGGAAACTTCTTGATGGCAAGAACCTTATCTTATACCACTCTGTAGCCCCTACAACAAATTCAGTGACTTATGTAGGGATAAAGACTCTCTGACTAATGACTTAAAATAATGGTTATAAAGAAAAAACTCTTCTCCCCTCCCCCCCCCAAAAAATCGGTCCTAATCTGTAATACTATATTTCGTGACAGCAGGCTTCAAGACCTCATTTTTCATTTCAAAAGGCTGCTCTGACTGGAAAACTGCATCTTTATTTATCTTCTCTCCAATAAGAATTCGCAATTGGAGACTTTAGTGAAAAATAGTAGAATCTGTTACTGAATGAGGTTTCTGAATGTGGTCTACAAGACACAGCCTCAAAAAGTCTTCACAACTAACTGATGAGTATTTTACGTTATTTTACAATTTAAAATCTGGAGTCTTGGACATGTAATAAAACACATACACTGTTACACTGCCTAACCCACAAGGCATGAACTTGTGTAAACTAGTACTTTAGCAAAAAATATTAGAGAATTGTGCCAGACAGGCATCACTGAACCAGGAAGCGAATCGAGATGGAGAAAGCCTTCTAATAACAGCAGTCACTGTGCCACGAACTCTTCAGCCTGGCACTGCAAAACCCTAGAAGGGCAAGCCCCAAGCACCAGTAGGAGTAGTCTGCAAATAAGTGCACAGAGGCCACCACACGGCTTCCCCCGCAAAAAGGCCGTGTTACCTACCTGCCGAGCAAACTGCTCACCTCAGAGCTTCAGAAAACTAGCTGTGGCAAAAGAGGCCTGTTTCTCAACAACAGAAGCAACAACAATAATAATATTAATGACTGCAAACATTTAGTAACTACTGTGTGCCAGCACTAACAACTTTACACATTACCATTTAATCTTCACAAAAGCCGAAAGAAATCGATACTTTATTGCCGCCTTTTAACCCATAAGAAAACTAAGATACAGAGAGATTAAATGAATTTTCTTGCGTCACTCAACTAATAAGCAGCGGAGGCGAGATTTAAACCCTAACCGAAATAGTATGACTCAATGCTCGCTGCGTACCCAGTGTTCCTACCGCTCCGCAACCCAGTTCCTGACAGTAACCTCTACGGGGGTACGAGCACTGTCGGAACATGTCCACATTGCCAAAGCCGTTTCCCCACCTTAGGCCCCATATATATGCAGTCACCCACCTCCTTCCCTACACCTTCCCCCGGACCACCTTCTCACCTGCAAACGTCGTCTGGTTAGCCGGACCCGCGAGAAGCACTGCGATGTTAGCGTTTTCAAATTCAAACAATGGCGGCCAGGGCACCGCACTGAACGCTGGGAGTGGGTGGAGCGTCCAGAGCTCCGCCAGGGAGCGCCACCGGCTCGCGCGGCGGACTTTCTAGTGGCTCCCGGAAGAAGCTCTCCAATGTGGGGGCGGGTCTTGAAACGCGGGCAGCCAAAGAACGGAAGCAGGCGTGGGAAGCCCGGGTGCCGACGGTCTCGTTTACCTACCAGCTCGGCCAGTCGGGCACTAATAGTGCGCTTCCTCGCGGCTGTCGTAAGTCCCACGCTGTTGACTGTGCCACCGATCTCCGATTCTGTCCTCGAGGCAATAAAGATGTGGCGAAGGCCCGAGGTGAGGCTGCTGCCACTGCACTTAGTCCTGCGACTCCCCAAGGACTGGCCGAGGAATGGCGGGCTAGCCACTTCCCAGTCCTGTCCCTACGGGATCTGAAAAGACTCGGCATCCCGGGATCCGGAGGGTCACTTCCCTCGCTGCATCCCCATTGTGAAACTGCCAGTCTCAAAATTGATGTAGGTAAGCTTATGAATGTTAAAACTAATGAATGCAAGATGCTAAAACAAAGCATTAACTGAAAGGTTGTCGGGGAAGAGGATGTTAGTATCTCAAAGAATCACCCTACAGATCATTTATTATAAAGGGAAAATAGAATTTTACACTGAAGAGATTTATTACACATACCTTAACCAAGTGAAGATACTTAGCATCGCTAATAGCACCTGATACTATTTGTACTAGAAATGTTTGACATGAATCTAATCATGAGGAAACAATCAGAAAAAAACAATGTAGAACATTCTACAAGACAACAGGCCTAGGCTCTTCTTCAGAAGTGTCAGTGTCATGACAGGAAAAAGAAAAAAACGAAGTGGAGAATTGCTTTAGTCGAGAGTCAAAAGAAACCAAATGAAATCTGTGAATCTTGGTTGGTTCATAGATTTAAAAAAAAAACTGTGAAATACATTTGTGGACAATTGGGGAAATTTAAATATGAACTACATATTAGATGAATCAGTTTTAAATTGGTTGCATGTGAGAATGAATTTGTGGTTAAGTGGAAGAATGCCTTTGTTTTTGGAAGGCGCTGGCGCTTGCTAAAGTAATTAACAAAGTGTCACAGTGTTTGCAGCTTACTTTCAAAAGATATGGCAAAAAAATAAAATAGAGAAAGTAAATGTGGCAAAATATTAGTAATTGGTGACTCTAGGTGAAGGGTATAATGGTGTACATCGTACTAGTCTTACAACTTTCTAAAATAACTGAGATTTTCTAAAATAAAAAGAGGAGAGGGAAAAAGGAATAAAATTCTGATCTTTACCACGGCCTCCCAGGTCCTGCACAATCAGGTGTCGGCCAACCTCACTGCCCACTAACTGTACAGTAAGGTGATCTGCTCTGGATACCTCAAACACAACTTCTTTCCAGCATGTATGAACCTTTGCATGGGTTATTCCCTCTACCTGAATTCTTTCTTCGCCATTCAATATGTGGCACTTCCCTTTATCCTTTAGATTACATCTAAAATAGTACCTTCTTAAAGAAGACTTTCCTGACTACTGTATCTCAAGTGAGCACTCTTTTTTTATTTGCAGGTTCAATTTCATTTTTATACTTTTTACAACTAGCAATTGTTGTTTTTCCCCTGCCCCTTAAAATGTAAGTTCTGTGAGTAGAAGAACTGTGTTTTGTTTGGTCACTAATGTATCCTCAATGACTCTGTAACACAAGACAAGCAAATCAATATTTGTTTAACAATGAATGAAGGCTTATGTGGCTGGGTAGAGACCATGGGAAGGAGTTGAGGGAGTGAATCTGGAGGCATGGGCCGACGCCAGACCCTGTAAGTCTTAGCCAAGTTACTGACTTGAGTATTATGAAATGCTTACTGGGTAACCGGTTTTAAGCATGGGCATGGTACAATCCAATGTGCGTCTATCTTTTGAAAAGGTTAATCTCCTGGAGAAACTAGAGGCAGCCAAGGAGGATGCTGTTGCAAGAGATTCCAGGAAAAGATAATGATAATGTGGACTTGGAAGATGGCAGAGGAGTTGCAGAAAAGTGACCAGATTTTAGAGGTATTTTTTCCTACGTTTTTCATTTCAGCACCAGTTGCTGGGTTTTTCCCTTAGGGAGATGCAGAGCCAGCTTGATTGGGAAGTGCTTAAGATTTAGTACCCTTTCCAAAGAATTCCATCTGTGCCCTTAAAGTGAATATTAACATAAAATGAAAAATTTGGTAAGTTAAGTAACATCAAAGTGATTTTCTGCCCTGGCCACAGTCTGTACTGTTAGTAATAGCTAACTTCCTTTATGCCTGGTAGTATTCTTAGCACTTTATACTCATTTAATCCTAAGAGTAACTCTGTAAGGCAATTTGTTGTTAACTCCTATTAATAGAAGAGGAAACTGAGGCGTGGAGCTAGTAAGGAAAGAGTAAAGCTATCTACTAAATAGAAGTGTGGAAGATTAAATCAGGTAATAGTGTAAAGTATTTATAAAAGTATCTGGCACATGTTAAATAATAACTTGTTTCAATTTATATAACAAACAGTGAGACTGGAATTTAAATCTGGGTGATCTGGTTTTAGAGTCCACGCATTCTTTCTCCTCCCAAAGTTTGGATCCAACACCCCTGGAATTCTCTTAAGAAAATACTAAGTGCTTAACTCCTACTGCAAAGCCATTTCTAGAAGCAAGACTGAAGCAACTCACTTTTCAATCCCAAAATAATACTTTTGAGGATGTATTAATTACAAAGGTTTAAATAACAAGTTCAACAAAAATTTATCAGTCACCCACTAAGTGGCAGATTTCTCTACCCTTGAGAGGCCCTTAACAGTCCTTCTTCTAAAGCAGCCCTTCTCAACCTGGGATTTCAAGAGACAATTAATCCCTAAGCCTTTAGGCACCCATTATATATAATGTATTAACTTCTTTCGTGTACATCTAGAATGGCACTGGTTCTACACCATCCTGAAAATAATTTTTTTATCTCCTGTGGTTCATATGGGGAAATCCATATGCAAAGTATTTCAAAACATGACAAATGCTGTAATAGAAATGAACACGGAGTAATGGGAGCAGAGTGAGCATAGCTTAAAGGTAATGCTGTGAAGTCAGACTTGAGATTGAGTACAAGCCCAGCTACTCATAGGGCTCATAAAATTGTTGTGAGGATTAAAATAGCATATGTAAGTTATTTAGTATAATCCTGGCACATAGTAGGTTTCATAATGGTAGTAAGGTAGTAATATTTATTAAATCTGTTTATTAAGTCATTAGAATGCAAACTCATTATTATCTTGGTCCTCTATAGCCCCCACATCTAAAACCATGACTTGCACAAAACAAGTACTCAATAAATACTTTTTGATGTAATAAGGGACATCTACTAGGGAAGATTTCTTAATGTAGCATGTAGGCTGAAGAAAGTGATTGGGATTTGCCAGTGAATTGTAGGAGGAGGCCATTCCAGGCCATGGAAAGCTATGAGACAATGATAAAAAGAACAAGAGTTCACAAAAGATTCCAAAAACTAAATACCTACTTCAGCATGACTGTGAACATTAGCTGAAGTGGGTAATGGCAGGAGATAAGAAAAGTAGGCAGAGGCTAGATCATAAAGGGCCCTGTATGACATGCTAAAGAAGAGCTAGAATTATATTCTCTAAGGCCTAGGTTTTGCTCAGCAGAGGTATGGAAGGAAAAGTGTAGGAAGAGAAGAAACAAGAAGGATTGAGTCTTAGTCTATAATACCAGAATCTTACAAAGTGCAAATCAAGAAATGAGACAACAGGATGTAGAAGTTTAAGCATATCATTTCAGTGTGCAAAGGTAACTGGTACAGGAAAAAATATATGTAACTATCTAGAGCTAAGTGCTTGTCTGTAGGAAGTACATAGATATCTATAATTGATACATGAAATAACATTAGGAGGAACGTATCATTTAAAGATATAGTATTTGGTATAGTAATTGCCAGAAATACTAAAAACAAATTATAAGAATAGTTGCCCCTGAAAGCAGGCCTGGAGATGTGAAAGGGTGAGATTTTTTTATTATAAGATCTTTTTGAATTTGTAATAAACATTTTTTAAAATTTAATGTGTCCTAGCTGGACTTGGTGACTCATGCCTGTAATCCCAATGTTTTGGGAGGCTTAGGTAGTAAGATTGCTTGAGCCCAGGAGTTCAAGACCAGCCTGGAAAACATGGCGAAGCCGTGTCTCTACCAAAAGTACAAAAATTAGCCAGGTGTAGTGGTGTCCTCCTGTAGTCCCAGCTACTTTGGAGGCTGAGGTGGGAGGATGGTTTGAGCCTGGGAGGCGAAGGTTGCAGTAAGCCAACATC